TCGTTCGTACGTTGGTTAGGTTAGGTAGTAGAGTAGGCCGACGAGGAGGTACGTACGTCTATGTAGCTCCTCTCTCTCTCTCTCTCTCTCTCTCTCTGTGTGTGTGTGTGTGTGTGTGTGTGTGTGTGTGTGTGTTTAAATCTCCTTCATCTTTCAGGCTGCTGGCTCCCTCTTGCCTTGCATCCCACTGAACCCCTGGACCTGCCTGCCTGAGCTCCTGGGAACTCTGATCGGAGCTTCGTCCAGGCCCTGTCTGCTCTGTGCAGTACCAGAAAGCCTCCTCTCCTCTCCCTGAAGCCTGAGTGTAGCTAAGCCCCACCTTGCCAGCTCTCCTTCCTGCCCCTCCACCCTGACTTCTGTCCACACCTTCTAAAATTGGGTCTTACTCCACCACCAGCACCTCTCACCTCCTGTGAGGACTTCAGAATTCTCACACTCACCTTTCCAGACACTCAGGGTCACCCTTTATCTACTAGAAGAGGATGTGTCGCTGCCGGGGAACATGTTGGTTTGGTGGTGGAGAACTCCTCATTTCAGGAGGTAGATCTTAGGTTCCTGGCTGTTAAGTCAGACCATCTTGGGTCCAGATCCCAGCCGTGCCTCCTTGAGCAGCATTTCCCAAGCCTCTGGGGTGGCTTTCATTACATTCATGAGGAAAATGAGGCTCCAAGCAGTTAGACAACTTTCCCAAGATCCTGGAGCTGGGAAGTGGTATAGCTGGGGCTTAAACTCAGATGGTTCTTGACTCCAGAGCCCACAATCCCTCCCCTCCAGGTCACTGCTAATGTCAGTATGCCAAGTCGGCCCCCTGAAAGGCCAGGTGAGGAGAGCAGTAGTGTGGCCCCTGAGCAGCGTCTGCCTGCCTGCCTTGTTCGGAAGTTTTCATATCTTCTAAAATTTTTTTCTAAAGTAGGAACCACTGCTTTTCTTGTCAAAAAGTCTGTTTTCTTAAATTTCTTGATGTCAGATTTCATCACCTTCTTCCATTCCTGCAATACCCTGGTCCACCTCACAGACAGGGAACCAGGGCCCCAAGGAGGTCATTGATTTGCCTGGAGACTTTCAGAGAGGCCAAGATCAGAACTGTCCCTCACCCCAGTCATAGTTTATTAATTGTATTCCCACTCCCATTTTTCATGTTGAATAGATTTGAACTAATCAGACTGGGAATGTACTGAGCTGGAACTTTTTAAAAAATTGATTCTTTTTCTGAACCCTGATGCTGAGCAGGCATTGGGCAATTGGTTTGCACTGACACAATTATCCTGCTGGGAAAATGCTCCCCACGATCTGTTTGCAGCTGTAGAGCAGCCTCGTGAAGGGATTCTACTCCAAGTGAAGAATTTTATCATCCACACTGGGGTTAGTAAAGATGGTGTTTAGGGTCAATGTACAGGCGAGCTTTTTATTTCAGGAGATGAGATACTCTACAAACCGTTAGCAGGGGAGGATGTCGAACCTTGTGGAGACTTCAAAAAAGCAACAATCCCTGGTTCCTGCTGAGATTTTAAGCCAAGAGCAGGTCTTTTGAAAGGGTGACAAGGGAAATCGGTTGGTAGCAAGCCAATGCATTGAGGTGAACTAAATATTCACTAGATGGTAGAGCTACAGTCCAGGTTGAAGTTTTTAAAATAGCCTGCAGTTCTTCTCCTGGGCCTCTGGGTGTCCCCTGTGGGTCTCCTGGTCCCATGTTCCCCAGGAAGCCTGTGTGCATGTACTGTTCCCCAACCACCTTCTATACAGGTTTAGCATAACTCATAACTTTTGTCTAAATCAGTCATTATACTGGTGATTGCAAAATGATGAAAAAAGCCATTCAGCTGATGGATAGTGTGATCAGAACTGAAATGGTTTAAGCAGCACTGGGGCTGGGGTGGGGGGTGAAATGGCAAAATTTTAAGCAGGCAAAGATTAGAAACCATGTCATACCATTTCAGAGTAAGATACTCATACTGGTGCCAAATCACTTTCCACAGCTATGAAACCAAAACTTCCTTTAATGGGAAACAAGGACTTTTGTTCATATTGGCAACATAGCTCTTTAAAATGCAAATATTAACTAAATTTTCTCTTTTTTAACATTTTTTATTGGTTTATAATAATTGTACAATGTTGTGTCAAATTCCAGTGTAGAGCACAATTTTCTAGTTATACATGAACATATATATATTCATTGTCACATTTTTTTCTCTGTGAGCTACCATAAGCTCTTGTATATATTTCCCTGTGCTATACAGTATAATCTTGTTTATCTATTCTACATTTAACAAAATTTTCTATTGAATTTAATAGCTTACAAAGCACTTTCAAATGCATCATTTCACTGGGTTTTCATATCCACAGAGGTACTATTCCTTGTTTATCAATAAAGAAACTGAGGCTCAGAGCCCTTAATGACTTCCCCAGGATCACACAGCTAGTAAGACTGTGTGAGCAGGATTTTTTTTAATGGGTGCTTTATTGAGACATTATTCATATACCATTAAATTCACCTTTATAAAATTGATAAGATTATAATTCAGTGATTTTTAGTATATTCATGAAGTTATGCAACTATCACCACTAATTACAGAACATTGTCATCATCCCCAAAAGAAACCTCATACCTATTAGCAGTCACTCCTCACTCCTGTTCACTGCAGCTCCTAGCAACCTCAAATCCACTGCCTGTCTATGAATGTGCCTGTTCTGGACGTTTTGTATAAATGGTATCATACAATGTGTGGCCTTTGGAGACTGACTTCTTTCACTTAGCATATTTCAAGGTTCATTCATGTTGTATCATATAACAGCTCTTCATTCCTTTGTGCAGATATACCACATTTTGTTTATTCCTTCATCAGCTGATGGGCAGTTGGGTAGTTTCCACTTTCAGGCTATTACTAATTATGCTGCTATGAACATTGTGTACAAGGTTTTACATGGACTTATGTTTTCAGTTCTCTTGGGTATGTACATAGAAGTATAATTGTTGGTTCATATACTAACTCTGCAGTTTGCAGTCTGGCAAACTCAGCCAGAAAGTGCAGGTGTGCTCAGGTTCACACAAGAAAAGCCACGCCTAGAACCCAGGTCTCCAGGCTCTTGGCCCAGTGCTTTCCCCCCCACCTTCCTCTGCCCTTGGGGGTTTCCACAGGACACAGGGCATATTTGCAACAGATCAGCCTCACCAGGAGGCATTAGGGTCTGTAGGATGGGGGAAGCACGAATCCACCACTTGGCTTCTCTGGGTCTGCCAACTTCTTTTTTAGTCTAGGTTGCTTGCGAGATGAAGAGGACATGTTGGCCAAGGCCAATGGTGTCAGATTTGGTAGACACAACATTTAAGTACCAAAACTGCAGTGGGTCTGTGAGTGGACATCCAGTTTGTCTAGTTGAAGGAAGTGTGAGAAGATTAGGTGAGGGAAATAGTGAATCCATGAGGGTCCTGTTGGAAGAAGAGCTCACTTCATTCATGTGTCCCAGGCCCTGCCTACATCACACACGCTGCTCTGCCCCCTTCTCACACGTCCATCCCCCTCGTCCAGACACCAGGTTCTGTCTGAGTCCTCAGACCCACAGCTCCCCACTTCTTCCAAGAAGCCTTTTGACCCTCCCTGGAAAAGTTCTGGGCCCCTCCATGTCGCCTGTTCTGCCACCTCCTGCCCCTCCCTGATTGTAACTCCAGTCGGCATGAAATTCACACAGCGGGTACATGCGCTTTTCCTCTGATTCCCTGTCAGGGTGAAGGTAGCACATTTCCTTTCATCCTGCCTCTCTCACCTGTGAGGTCCCCAGGTGGACCCACTCCTGGCCAGCTACAGGACCCAGAACAGGGTGCAGTGGTACAAGCCTGGAGGCTTGTATACAGGGAGGGGGTCAGGAAAGCCCCTGGGGTTCTGCTGGTGAGAGACAAAGGAAGAGGGAGGGTTGGTTCCACCAAGCTCCTCTGTGCTGGTGTGTGGAGTCCTCACCAAATTCTGTTCTATCTCTCTCTCCCTCTTTCCCCCTGCCCCCGGGACAGCTCTTTCCGGCCCCGCTGCAGACCCTCTCCAGGAAGATCGTACGGTCCAAGATGAACAGCACCCTGGTGGGGGTGTTCACCATCACCCTGGTGTTCCTGTCGGCTTTTGTCAACATGGTGAGTGGCTCCACCTCCCCCTACTGCCTCTGCAGCCCATTGGGTGAAGCCCAGTGGAGCCCTGTACCCCACAAGCATGGGCTGGGAGGCTTTTCCCCAGACTCCAGAGCTCTCCCTCCCTGGAAATTTTTATTTGGGTTTGAGGTCAGATTTGGCTTCTAAAGCCTCTCACGTAGGCTTTAGTCCTCACTCTCAAGGCTGGAGGAGCCAGAAAGACTCAGAAAAGTCCATCCCCACGAGAGGTTTACGAGCCCTGCCCTAGACAGCTGGGCAAACCTTGCCTGTTCCTCGGCCTCTTCCAGGCTCCTCTCCTGTTCTGGTCAGTGTCAGGCTGCCCCTGAGACAAGGGGGATGGGCACCTGCTGCTCTGCGCTGCCCTGTGGAGATGGGCTGCCCTGGCCTGGCCCCACGCGCTGACTCTGTCCTCTCCTAGTTCACCTGCAACTCCAAGGACCTGTTTGGCTGCCTGGCAGATGAGCACAATGTCAGCGTCAGCCAAGTCAACGCGTGCCATGTGGTGGAGTCGGCCGTCAACTACAGCCTGGGGGACGAGCGGGGCTTCTGCGGCAGCTCCTGGCCCAACTGCAACTTCCCCGAGGTACTAGGCAGGGAGGGGCTGGCTGCAGATTGGGACTTCCCACCCCACCCCTCTCCGCCCTTGGCTGCTCTGATGGACAGCCAGGGGCCCTCAAGCTCACTCCAGACACCTCCTTTCCCCCAGTCTCTCTCACTCTACGTGCTGGACACTAGGGAACAAGGTTAGCCTCAGTATAACAGTAAAAGTAATAATAGCATAGCTATTTTTTATAAAGTACTTACCGTGTGCCAGACACTGTGCCAAGTGCTTCACATACACTTACTTATTTAATCCTTCCCACAACCCTATGATATAGATAATATTATTATCTCCTTTAAACAGATGAAAGGGAGGCACAGAGAGGTTAAGGTCACACAGCTACTAAGTGGCAGAGCCAGAGCTCCCACCCAGGTCATCTGGCTCCAGAGTTCTTGCTCTTAACCTGAAGGCAGAGCTGTTTCTAGACCCTCAGCCTCAGCAGCATACCTGACGCTGCGTCAGGAGGACCTACCCAACCCCTCTGCTGGAGGTCGGAGAGCAGAGGGGAGCAAAGGGAGTCCAGTCCCAAACCAATACCACCATCAAGCTCACCTGTTCCAAGTGTAATTCAGTAGCCTTTAGTATATTCACAAACTTGTGGAGCCATCATCATAAACTAATCTTAGAATATTTCCATCACCCCGGAAAGAAATCACGTACCTGCACAATACTGGGTTTAAAAAATAGCACCGAGAACCAGTAGAGAGCAGCTTGCGTTCACAGGTGGTACACGGGTGCTGCGTTCACCGGGCCATGCCCACCTCCCCGAGCAGTTTCCTAGCAAGCAGCAGGGCCAGGCCTCCAGCCCCAGCTCCATGCACTGGGTGATTCCCACTCCCCGGCTCCCTCCTGGGGCTCCCGTGAAACCTGTCAGAGGTCGGCAGTTTTTGCCCGATTCTGGGGAGAGGGCCCGTGCTTTCATCTAATTCCTACAGGGCCCGTGACTCACAGCAAGGGTCTGGAACTGCAGTGAGGGCGCCACAGGCTGTCACAGTGCTGGCCTCCCTCGCCCGGCCCAGGGAAGGGGGCTGTTCTGACTCCCCTATACAGGCCGGGTGAGGGAAGCTCAGGGAGGGGTAGGGCTCCCCGTCACTGGTGCTCGCCTAGACCAGCGCTTCTCCACCTGGCCTTGGGCTCCAGCAGCTCCGTGTTCCAGCAGCAGCCCGGGGCAGGCGGGGCAGGCGCCTGCCCTCCACTCCCCCAACCCAGTTCCCTCACATCTGGCCGAGATCCCATAGGAGCTGCTGCCTGAGAAGCAGAGGCTGGTTTTGGTTTCACATTTGCCCCCTTGGTGGTTGCTCCAGGAGAGAGTAGGGGAACAGAGCAGGGGCAGCAGGCCTGGTCTGGTCCCTCCACTTCAGCCCTCACCAGGTCGACCAGTTTCAGGCCCCGCGGATCCCAAGTTCTACCAGCCACAGACCTCTAGGTGTCATTTTGATTCAAGAACTCCTCACAGACCGTGAGGTGGAACTCAGCATTGAGCCCTGGCCTCCTGGATGTCTGGGGCCAGGGTCTGACTGGGAATCTAGGCTGACTCTTGGGTTCCCCTCCTCATCCACCAAGGACGGGATTATTATCCTTGGGGCTGATTTATCTGGGTCTGCCCTCCTTACTCCTTCCTCTGCCCTGTTCCTGTTGATGAGTTGAAGCTGGTCCCTCCCCCTTCCAGTCACCAGGGGCTCCTGCAGTTCTCTGGGTTCCTGAAGACCTAGGGAGGCAGAAGGTCCAACCTAGGGGCTACCCCCACCACCAGCCAACAGTATTTTGCCTCCAGCCCCAGGCAGCGAATAGTGAGTTGCAATGTCTGATGCAGAAATAATGAGGCTAAAAGAAAAGAACAAAATAATAGATGCTGACGTGTCTAGGATTAGCATCAGGGGACAACAGAGCAGACCCGGACTTCTTGAGATCACCTGGTTCAGCCCCTTGGCTTTCTGAGAAAGAAGCTAAGGCTCAGGGACCAGAAGGGACCTCCCCAAATGACAGGGAGGACCACAGTCCCTCATCTCAAGTCTCCTGAGTCAGATAATGTTTTGGACTTTGGGATTTTTCAGATTTTAAAAGGATACCTCATACCCCAGTGCAGTCTGAGCAGCACTTGATAATGAAACACGGAAATATTTCTGCAGTAGAATGTATGACTTCCTGTCGTCACAGGAAGCAGGATAAAGGTGATAATTCACATCACATCAGTAGGTCAGTTTGGCCACCAAATGAGGTCAGTTGAGGTGTGGCCACCACATCAGTTAGGAAAACACTTTCATTTTTCAGGACTTCGATTTAAACTTGCAGAGCAGGGGCTGGGGCATGCGCTCCCACAGGTAAGGGCTCCAGGCACTGTGCCAGGGACTTCATGTCCTGTAATCGGCACAGTGAGCCCATGAGATGGGTTTTGCATACAGGGTAACTGAGGCTTAGAGAGGTTGAATAAGTTACCTAAGTCACACAAACAATCTGTAATGAATTAGTGTGGAAACACAAGCCTGCCTGAGCCTGGAGCCCTGCTCTAACCATTGGACCCTGGTGCTGGTTCTGGCCCACCTCAGCCCCACCTCCCGGTTCCTAACCAGGGCCCCTCACATCACAGCACAGGTTTGCATCAACAGAAACATCCCCAGACCAGGCTTCACCTGAGGCCCGCATAGACTGCAGGGATGCTAGGGGCAGGCCCGGGGGCAGGAGGACGGCCGGGGCGCTGAAACCCTGCCCTCTCTCCACAGTACTTCACCTACAGCGTGCTGCTCTGCCTGCTGGCCTGCTCCGTGTTCCTGCAGATCAGCTGCATTGGGAAGCTGGTGCTCATGCTGGCCATTGAGCTCGTCTACGTGCTGGTCGTCGAGGTGCCTGGTGTCACACTCTTTGACAACGCCGACCTGCTGGTCACCGCCAACGCCATGTAGGTGACACCCACCTCGCGCCCTCCACGGGATCTGGGGCATTGCAGAGAGGCAGGAAGAGCAGGAGCTGGGCTGCAGGGGGCTTTCCAGGGGAGTGTCCTGTTGCTCCCAGCACTGACCACCTGAGCAAAGCAGCGCAGTGTCTTGTTTCTTCCCCTCCCTCCCTCCGCCAGTGGTGGAGGTGGCCTCAGGGCTACTAGGTCCCCCTGTCCTTCTGTCTCCAGTTTCCTACTCAGTCCTGACCACCAGCCTCTGAATTGTTCCTCATTTGTCCAGGGCTGCCTCTGATGAGCTATTTTCACTTAATTGCCATGTACCTCAGGCCCAGAGGGGTCAAGGTCCAACAGAGCTGGAAAGCAAGGTCTGTGGAAGCAGAGGAGCAGCCTTTGTTGTTCACGGGCTCTTGTTCTGCTTCGTGCCTTTTGTCCTCATGGCAACTCAGCAAAGTAGGCAGGGCCCCCATGGACGGTTGGGTAGTTTGTACACTGTTCACAGGCTCCTGGCTGTGCTGGTGAGTGGTTAGGTCCCACCGGCAGGAGGTGGCAGGCATGGGGGGTGTGCCCCAGGCTATCCAGCTAGTAGTCAGCCTGGTCATATGGTGACAGACGTCAGATTTCCAAGGGAAGTGGCTCCATGAGGGGAAAGAGCTCTGGTTTTGGGCCAAATGGAGTCTGAGTCAGCCTCAGACACACATTTGGCTATTTTTCTGAACTTCATTATTTTTTCCCAGTGAAATGGGTATACTACCCAACGTAGTACGCTGTAGGTAAAGTGACTGATACATAGTACCCTTCTCTTCCCATTACTGTCCCCACACACATCAGAAAGTGCAAAACATGTGACCCACAGGCCTGTGTTCCCTGAGAAAATGCAGCAAACTGTGCTCACTCTGAGTTACAGGAAGGGACCCCTGCCTCCATCTCTTTCCAAAATTCTGTTTGAGCGCCTACCCGTTCCAGGCACTGAGCTCGGCAGTGGAGAGACAGTCATGGATAAAACAGACAATAACTTCAGTGTCAGAATTGTTACCTTCCGGTGCAGATAGTGTCCCCTGAGAAAGTGAAGGTGTAATGAAGGATCTAAGTCAGATCCAAGGAATAACTTCTGGGCGGCCGTGCGGGGCTGTGGGCAAATGACAGGGAGACACTAGCAGCGAGAGCGGGGCAGCTGCGGTCCTGCGGGGACAGGAGAGGGAAGAGGCCTGCCCTTCTACGGGCGGACCAGGGCAGGAGCGGGGAACTTTGCCTCCTCCTTCTCACCCACCCCTCCCCTCCCCACAGCCCATCCTTCCTCCTGCTGAGGTAGCAGCAGAGAACGGAGGTCCTTTCTGTCCTGGGAGACCCTGGCATGGTTGTTGGGCAGCTCTGTCCACTAGACAGATCATGCAAAGCATGGATATAATTTAAAATTTTCTAGTAGCTGTATTAAAAAGGCAAAAAAAACAATTTTAATAATATTTTTATTTAACCAATATATTAAAAATAGTATTTTAATATGTAGTCAGTTTAAAATTATTAACGAAACAGCTAACATTATTCCACACTAATTCTTCACAGCCTAGTATCCATCTACACTTACAGGACAGTTTAACTTGCACTAGCCACATTTTAAGCTCAGTAGCCGCATGTGGCCAGTGACGACTGTACTGGACAGTGCAGGTGGAGTATTTCTGTTCCTCTGGGTGGCAGTGACGGGCTGGAGAGGGGGCAGGCTTCTGCCCAGGTGGACGTGCTGGGGGCCTCAGCGTCCCAAGTGAGGGCTGGGTGATTGGTGGTCACGGTGACCAGATGCTAGTTGGGGCCCGGCTTTCTGCAAGCCTCCCAGCCTAAATGTGACCTTGGATGGGGAAGAGGAGGCTGCTGGGGATGGAGCGAAGGAGCAACAGCAGAGAGGCTGAAGTATTGGGCACAGGGAAGGAGAGCAGCATAGGGGGGAAGCAGGGTTGGGGAGAAGCAGGATGGGGGGCTACAGCAGGGGGCAGCAGAGCAGGAGGGGGCACGGCCGATGGGGGACAGAGCAGGGATGGAGGCTGCCAATGCAGAGAGCAGTCCTGAACGGCTCTCCCCAACTCCTGTTCACAGAGACTTCAGCAACAACGGGACCTCCCAGTGGTGAGTTGAAGCTCTTTCTCCGAGTTCCCTGATACAGCCCCTGCCTGCCCTTGGCACCAAGCTGCCAGAGGCCAGCGCCCAGGGCCCAGCAGAGAAGGCAGCAGCGCCCAGGTGGGAAGGTGGGCGGTGAAGGAGGAGCCCTCCCCTCCCCAAGTATCAAGGAGGCCTCACTGGGTAGATGCCCTTCCTTTATCATCCCAGGATGATCTACAGACTGGTGGCCAGGGTCATCAGGTCCTACAGGTCAACCCACAGGCCTCACCTTAGAGCACTTAGCCTCAGCTTTTCCCCAGGAGCACATGTGGGACCCCAGGCACAGGAGAACAGGTGCCCCCTCTGCCCCTGGAGGTGAGGAGCGACACGAGGCCTGCAGAGTTTGTGGGTTAGGCCCTGCCTCAGGGCTAATGCTGGACAGGGAGTCTATGCAGCCCTCAAGGTTTGGGCTCTTTGCTGGGACAGGAGCAGAGTTTGGGATAGCTGCTTTTATTAGGAGTATTAATAATGTTAACAGAAATATAAGTAGACAATAATAGTGACCAGTTTTGGAGTTCCTGTTGTTTGTCGGATACTGTACAGGGAGTTTTGTATGCAGTATCTTTAATTCTTTTCACAATCCTGAAATGTGGGTATTGTTATCTCATTTTACAGATTAGGAAACTAAGGTTCAGAGAGGTTAAAAGACTGGCACAAGGTTGCAGAGAGATGGTCAGTATGGCCTGCCTGGCTCCCATGTGCTGATCTCTGTCTTGTCAACTGAGAAAGACCTGGGATGTACTCACTGCCTTTTACAGAGTCTTCATTCATCCCCTGAAGTGACCAGAGGGAAGCTCCACAGTGATGGGGGAGAGTAAGCCCTCAGGAAGGGAGTCATGGCCACTGAGCCGTAGGGTGAGCAGGGGCTGAGACGGGGCTGCCCACCAAGAAGGCTTCCTGGAAGAGGCACACCTCAGGCAAAGTTAGAGCAGGAGGATGAGGAGAAGGGGGAACTGAAGGGAGAGGAAGGAAAAAGGCCTGCAGGGGCCCCGAGCCTGGCATGATGTGCCGGGGCATCTACCTCCCACCACAGCCCTGAGCACGCGACCAAGGTGGCACTGAAGGTGGTGACGCCCATCATCATCTCCGTCTTCGTGCTGGCCCTGTACCTGCATGCCCAGCAGGTGGAGTCCACCGCCCGCCTTGACTTCCTCTGGAAACTGCAGGTGGGTGGTTGGGGGCTGGGGGCTGGAGCAGGGCGGGGGGAACCCAGGCCTCACGACACTTTGTGAGCGAGCGAGTTCACGGGCTGGGCCGAGCCTGTGTTCCGCACTAACGAAGTGTCCTGCTCAGGCCTCATCCCAACTGACCATTGCCCCATGTCCCAGTGAGTCTGCTCCCTGCTCTCTGGGGCCAAGAGGCAAAACCCTGGAGGTCCAGACAAACCCACCCCAAGCAGTGCTGGGACTCTGATGGGCCAAGGAGATATGCTCTGAAGTTACAAAGACTATGTCATCCAGGACAGAGGGGCGTGGACAAGCACAGCTTGTGACGGGGCAGCAGGGAGGCAAGAAGGCGTGGGGGAGAGGAGTGGAGTAGGAGGAGATGAGCAGGGCGCACGGTCCTGGGGTCATGGATGCCTTAGCACAGGAGCCCGGCCACGTGCAGGAGCTGGCACCACAGGCTTCTGAGCAAGGCCTAATGTGACCACACGGGGCTTGAAGATCCTTCCAGGGGAGGATGGATGGAAGGAGCATCAAAGACCATCGACAGGAAGTCCAGCCAGGTGGCTGGGCCCTGGCCCTGGTGAGAGATGGCCTAAGCAGGGGCAGAGGTGGTGCTGGGCGCCCAGGTGAGGCTGAAATCCAGCCAGCACTCTGCTCTCCAGACCTCGTGCCCTGAGCCCTGATTGTATCCACCCGGAGGAGGGGAGGCTGCTAGACCACACACAGGGTGCTCCCGGTGCTAGCCGCAGCCCCATTGGCCTCTTACTCCCTGCTGGACCACCTCAGAAAGTGCAGGAGAGAGCCAGCTCTTAGATGTGAGTGGGGGTGGGGCTCATACTTGTTAGTCCAGCCAAGCCCCTTGCAGGGCGTAGCTTAGCCCAGCCTCTTTGCCTCCTCTGGCCTGGCCCCTGTGTGCAGACCACTTCTCTGGCTCATCTGTGACTCACTTAGGCCCCCTCCATCCTCAGCTTCTTAATAAGATTGAGATTAAAGTCTTGGGCTGGGCCAGGAGGCCCTGGATTTCCACTGGATGCTGAGTGAAGATGGGGGCATCTGGTTTTCCCTGCTGTTGGGTGTTCTGCATGAGGTCTGGCTGAGGTGCCCACTGAGGTCTTCACACCTCTCTCCTTGGGGAGGCTCCCAGGAGGCCCCAGCTCTCTCTGGGGGGCTGGCCAGGTTCTGTGGGGCTCGGGGCTGATGTCCCTCCACTCCTCTGCTCACACCTCACCTCCCCCCTTAGCCCCCGGGAAGCCCCTCCCAAGATGCTAGCTGTTGTTCATCTCAGTTGTGTTGCAAAGACCCTGAGAAAGGGGTGGCAACGAGAGAGTGAGCCTGCCACTCCGCGTCTTTGTGACCAGCTGCCCCTTCACTCCCACCCAGGGACCTTATCCAGTTCCCGGGTGCACTGGATCAAACTGAGGCTGCCTGCCAGGCTGAGCAGAGCAGCCTGAAGCTTCACCATAGCCGCCAACCCTGGCTCCCCAGTGCCCAGGCAACAGCAGCTTTCTCGCAGCCCCAGAAGACCTGGATGAGCCACGAGGCAGGGTCTCTCGGGGAGCTGGGGTCTCCCGGGGAACTGAAGCATCCCAGCTCTCGGCCAGGGTGAAGCTCCTAGGCCCGAAACAGCCAAGGCCGTGGGCTATCTGCTGCAGGAAGGGGTGTGTTAGGGACGAGGACAAGACCCCCTGCAGTCCCCTTGGTCTCAGGCCCCGGGTACCTAAAGCACTCTGGTTGCCTCCCGCACCCCCAGGCTGCAGCCCAGCCCCAAGCTGTGCTGACGGTTTGGAGATCAAGTTCTCCGTCACTCCCCGCCTGTCTTCAGCCCTGGGAGGCACTTGTATTATTAGTGTTTCCATATGTGGCTGTGGAAATAGGCTATTTACACTTCTTTATCTTTCCTCCCTGACTTCCTACCCCACATCCATGCATCCCCCCATTTTCATCTTCTTTTATGGGAGGAAGTTTTAAAAAAATAATTTAAAACTTACAGAAAAGTTAAAAGAACAGTGTAAAGAACTCCAGCAGTCTCTTCACCAGGTTCCCCAACCATGGTTCTGCATTTGCTCCACACCTGTTCTCTCTCTATTCTGACATGATGCCCCAGTCCCCTCCCAATTCTCCAATTTCTCCCAAAAGCAAGGACAGCCTCTACAGTATCCCCATGTGACCTCCCAGGCAGGAAATCAACAGTACCCGCCCACAATACCACCCCACCCACAGAACCTGTTCACGTTTGTCAACTGTCCCAGTTCTGGCCCAGGATGCTCTCCAGGGTACTCTCTGCATTTGGTTGTTATGTCTCCTGTCTTTCTTTGTCTCTCAGTCTTTGTCAGTCTTAAAGAGGTCCTTGTTCTGTGACCCTCAGTCTAGGGCCCTTGTCCAGACTCAGGCCACACTTTCGTGGGGTCAGTCTGCTAAAGTGATCCATAGCAAACTGCTTTTCCGGTTGCATTTCCTGATATGAAGAGGAAAATGGAAAGTGAGGAGCACGTGGGTGGCTGGAGGGCCATTTGGGTGTGGCTTTAGACCATCCTTCTACCCTCCTGCCCCTTCGGGTCCAGGGCAGGCAGGCTCCTTCTGGCCTCTCCTCTGGGACCTGTTTCCACTCAGGGTTCCCTCTTTCAGTATCAACGGTCTTATAGACTTCACTTTCCAAGAGGCGAGCTGGGAGTGGGGGCAGAGTTAGCTACTTACAAATCTTTCTTTCCTGAAGGTCAAAGTAAGAGATGCTCTTTATGGAAAACCTGGAGGTAGAGACAGCAGTGAGGATGCAAAGCTGGCACTTGCTGGAATCTAGGGCCTGCATCAGCTCGTGGGCAGGTGGCCGTGCCTTGTCCTAGGCAGTGCCCTGCCGGGCCCTCCTCTGACCCGGTCCTCTGTCCTGGTTCCTCTGTCCCAGGCCACGGAGGAGAAGGAAGAGATGGAGGAGTTGCAGGCCTACAACCGGCGGCTGCTGCACAACATCCTGCCCAAGGACGTGGCTGCGCACTTCCTGGCCCGCGAGCGGCGCAACGACGAGCTCTACTACCAGTCGTGCGAGTGCGTGGCCGTCATGTTCGCCTCCATCGCCAACTTCTCCGAGTTCTACGTGGAGCTGGAGGCCAACAACGAGGGCGTTGAGTGCCTGCGGCTGCTCAACGAGATCATTGCCGACTTCGATGAGGTGCGGCCTGGCCCCCGACCCCGACACCCCCTTTCCCATCACCAGAAGTGAGCAGAGATGTCAGAAGCCCTGACTGCGTCCCAGACACTGCAGACATTTCCTCCCCATCACCATGTTATGATGGGGAACCTGAGGCCCACAGATGTTAAGTGTTTGGCCTGCAGTCACTACTTGTAAGTGGCAGAGCTGGGGTTTCAGCCCCAGCTGTTTGAACTTGAAGTCTTGGTACCTTGGCTGCCCCATCAAGGCCCCGCCCCGCTGACTTGCCAACCACCCCACCCCCATCATCCATCATTCCTCTCCTGCCAGGCAGGGACTCAGCTTTTGAGAGGGACCAAGGAAAGAAGAATTCCCAGGCTAAGGGAGGAGACAGGACAAAGATGCAAAGCCCTGAACAGAGGCAGAAACAAAGACATCTTCTTCATTTGTTTATCGCTCCCTTGTTGGGCATCTAGTGTGTGCCAGGCCCTGGGGATACTGTGCCCAATGGGACAGTCTCAGCCCCGGGAGCTCACCGCGTTGTGGGTGTGAGAGGTCAGCCCCGGCGGGAAGATGGACTGGAGCACGGAGCGCAGGGAGGAGAGGGCTGGTGGAGCTGGGTGGGGCTCTGGTGTGTGGGTGGGCTTGTAGCCCACAGCCACTAGACAGCAGGTAGGTGCTGGAGGAGGCCTGCCTGCTGGGTAGCTCCGGGGCTTTGCACTGAGTTGGCGATGGAGACGGGCCCACTCTTTGAATTGGGGAGACGCAGGGGCCGTGCTACTGCACTTCCCTACGGACTTCAGTGCAGCAGCCTTGGGGGTGACCCAGGTTTGGCATCCATCTGTCCAGATCATCAGCGAGGATCGGTTCAGACAGCTAGAAAAGATCAAGACCATTGGCAGCACCTACATGGCCGCCTCAGGCCTCAACGACTCCACCTACGACAAGGTGGGCAAGACCCACATCAAAGCTCTCGCTGACTTCGCCATGAAGCTGATGGACCAAATGAAGTACATCAACGAGCACTCGTTCAACAACTTCCAGATGAAGATTGGTGAGCCGGGCCGGGGAGTGCTGAGGGCTTGGAGGAGCTCCCCACTCACCATCCCCTATCCCATGTCCGTGACCCCACCCAAACAGAGGCTGACATTATGGGGCGCCCCTGTCCAAGGGGTGGGAGTAGGCACTGATCTCACAGCAGAGTTCTCCCAGGGCCTGGAGCTGCCCCTGCGCGTTGGTGTGCCGGGGACGTGCCCAGGACGCTGGCTGAGTTCCTGCCTCTCCCACTCGCTGTGCCTGCTAGAGAGGCTTTGTAGGGGGTGCTGTGTGAAAGGACGCAGGGGCCCTAGTCACTGCCCCACAGGCAGATGGCAGTCCCATGTGTTTCAAGTAGTATTGACTTAATGGCAATGTTTTATTTACAACTATGCCAAACTCATTCAGTAAAAGTGAAAAGCCGAAAAATGAAATAATTATACATTTTAAATACTAGTTGTGTAAACATAGTGCAGGTCATTCCATTTGTGAATTTATGAAAATATTGGACATATATTTTACAAAATTGTTAGCAAACCAAAATAAAGTGAAATGTTTAAAAAAAACTAAACATGAACATAATCATGTAAAATTGACAAATAATTATATTTCAACTTTTTTTTAAAAAAGTAGTCTTAAAAACCAGAATGGGTGGCTGGGGTTATTGCTGAGCTGTAAGTGGCTTCTGTGTGCATGCGAGCAAAATCCCCTAGGTGCTGTGAAAACTTTTCTGACACAAACTGGGGAAAGAAATGGTGAGGATGTGCAGCTAAGACGAATCCAGGTATCTTCCCTGGGTTCCTTCTTTGTCAAAGGCCTTGGCTCTTGGTGGTGGCTTGGAGGAGCTTTGTAGATGCCCTGGCATCCTGGGGGCAGGGCTGCTGCAGAAGAGAGGGCGGATTCTGGGCAGAGGCCCTCGTCGGTTTCAGAAAACAGTCAGAGCCATATTCTACTTGTTCAGAAAATCTTGAACCAAAAGACTATATAATTTTTTTCATTCTTTGCATTTTATTTTTTAATTGGAGTACAGTTGATTTACAATATTGTATTAGCTGCAGGGGGAAAGCATAGTGGTTCAATAGTTTTATAGATTATACTCCATTTAAAATTATTATAAAATATTGGCTATATTCCCTGTGCTATACAGTCTTTTTTGTGTTTAATTTTGTTGTTTTATTACCTCAGCCTTTTATTCTGACAAGTTTCAACTCTACAGAAGAGCTAAAAGAATAGCACAGTGAAAACCCATGTACATCCACCACACACTTGCCCATTTGCTTGCTCCCCCTAATGTATACACAAAACGATCTCTGACTCGTGACTCTGGGCATGTTGCTCAGTAAGATTCAAGGTGTCTCAGCAGCTCACTTTGTCCTTAGCATCTATCTTGCCAAGGTTGCCCAGGCTTTCAGAGTAAGAGTTACTTTTTCAGCAGAAACTCTTCTTCGTCGAGCATTGCTCTCTCCTCCTCTTGAGGACAATGGAGGTAAAGAATGCTTTCTGAAAGAGATGGTTTTGTTCTTGTCAGAATTTTAATGCATTATTATCCCCTCAGGGATGTCTTAGGCCACAAATGACTCAGACTTCAAATTTTTTTAAAAAAGGAACAGTAATTCACCAACAAAGATACTGGTATTTCAGTTCTCAAAATTAGCACATTAAGCCAAAATACTGGATTCCTAAAAATGAATATTGTGATCACGAATGGCCTCAGGAGACCTTTTGTTCTGGCCTGAGTGTCGGGAGCTGGGCTTTCCCTGACGAGCTGGCCGCATTGGCCCTTGGGCACACGCCTGTGGACCGGACTGGGTCTTCATTTTGCATTGGCTGCTGGACAGCCAGGCCAGAGCCAGCTCGGGGGCTGCTTCAACTGATGGGCAGCCTGCGCTTCTGTGTTAACTTCGCGCTTGGTTCCTGTGATGTAGCCATTCTTTTTTTCCTTTCACCCCACCCCTCCCAGTTCCATTGATTTGTATTTTCCTCCTGGTGTGTATTCATTTCCGTGAGCTGCCCCAGCTCCTTCCTTAGACAGGACTGGGGGCTGAGTGGTGGGTAGACAAATAGCTGGGCAGACAGGTGGGAGCCTTGTGTGGCAGATCCCTTCCTTTGGACTCAGGGGAGCGTGGCTTTTGGCCAGTGAGGCTGACAGTCCAGCCTGGGAACAACACATGGGGTAAAAAAGATACATGTGGCTTGATGGGACCAAAAAGGACGGTCATGGAGGGAAGAGTTTTGAGGACTGGTGAGATTTCTGACTTAGTGAGTGACCCAAGGGGCACATGTGGGAGCTTCTGCTGTGTCTGTGGTCCTGCCTTTCACACACAAGAAACAGTTAAACAGCGAGGCTTAACAAGGCCCAGCATGAGAGAGATAGTTTATGTAATAGGAGGGAGCACCCTGGGGCTTGGAGATGGGGCAAAAAATGTCTGGAGCATATCGATTGAGGCAGAGGTGTCAGAGAAGGACTTCACCTGGAGGGAAGAAAGGAGGACACTTGAAGTGGAGACCAGCACAGCAGAGGCTCAGTGGCAGGGTTGCTCAGTGTTGTCTTGGAGAGGCAATCAGATGAGAGGTCACTGGAAACCTTGAAGAGGGCAGCCTTGGTGGTGGGCTTGCAGGAGCTGAGTGTTGCCTGGGCAGCAAGGACGAGGAGCAGTAGCTATGTGAACAGGTTCCTGTGGTCTTGAGTTACCAAGCATGCAGTAGTAGCAGAGCAGTGGCAGCTGTGGGATTAGGCACAGCCTCAGGCCAGGACCACCCTAGGTGTCCTCAGACCAAGAATCAGGGAAAGCCTGCCGAGTGTCAAGGAGGAATGGTAGCAAGAGCAGGCAGGGCAAGCACTGGTTGGAACCCTGATGAGCATACTGACTTCTGTCCCCTGCAGGGCTTAATATTGGCCCCGTGGTGGCAGGGGTTATTGGGGCCCGCAAGCCTCAGTACGACATCTGGGGCAATACAGTGAACGTGGCCAGCCGCATGGACAGTACTGGTGTGCCCGACCGCATCCAGGTGAGTGCAGGAACATCCACCCCACCCACATGGGGGCCTCTGTGTGTTGCTAAGTGGTCTTCTAGCAGCCCCCACAGTTGCCAGTCAGAATTTCTGCAGCCGATTTGAGGATGATGGGGAAGTTGGCACTGATGTCTTGAAAGCTTGGGGAACGCAATTGTGTTTCAGGCCCTCAGTACCTTGGACAGATCTTCTATCCTGTGCAAAGCCCTCTACTGGCCACAGATGGAACTGGGGGCGTTGGGGGTAGCCAGCTGCTGATGCCAGGCTAGAAGTGCTAAGGGACAACCCAGCCACCCACAGGGGACACAAGATGACCGCAGGGAGCAGGGTCTTGCCACCTGGGGCCCACAGCACTCGGGGCCTAGTCCTGAGAACCAGACAAGGCCACTGGTCCCAGGATGGTGCCTCCACTAGCTCCAACAGGTGTGTGGTGGAGGTGCTGGCTGTACCCAGAAAGGGCTCTTGGGTCACCTTGTGGTGAGGCATTTGTCCGTACTGCTACTCCTGTCACCCTGCTCTGGCCCTTCACCCTGCAGCAGTGTCGTGCGGTTACGGAAGCCTCCTATGAGTTCTCCTCTTTGCTCCAAAGCTAAAGCAGAGGCAGGCAGTAATCTGGAGTGAATCCTGGCCCAGTCACTTATTAGCTGTGTAACTTCAGGCAAGTGGCTTCGATTTTCTGAACCTGAGAGGACAGTTCTTAGAAAGGGGAACCGAGATCAGCAGTGGTTCTCAAACTGTGGTGAAAAGCCAGTTTCCAGAACTGTTTCTAATGGGTCAGGAGTGAGGCTGGTAAACCCTTGGGATCGGACTGTGCGGGGTCAGACGGCTGTGCGCTCGCAGCCCTCCCCTCGGCTTCCGCGTTACTCTCACAGTGGACGGTGACAAGCACTGTGTGGGCCGCAGGCACGTGTGAGGTGCCCGCGCCCCGCCCCGCACGGGTGGGTGCAGCCGCCCCCCACCCACGACAGCAGCCCCGGGGCGGTG